GGAGAGAGAGAGAGATTTAACCTTTTTATCCTTCTTCTCGTGTCCTATTATATGTTGATGTTAACATAGAACTGTTGGGAACTGTTTTACACTTCTGCTTGTCCTCTGTATCATTGTTAACATAGAACTGTTGGGAAATGCTTTGGACAGAATTTGTGCACTACTGCAGCTTATCGGCCTGTGCGAGAGCTATTAAAGAAGGAAATAGAAAAAGAAAAGGTATTGTACTTGTATTTTTAGCCTACTAACAGTGAACAGAAATTACAAAATACTGTTTTAAGTTTTTGACTTTACATTATCCTTTTTCTACATAAAATGTTCTTTCTTTAAAAATGACCATGGACCTCCAAAAGAAACCTGGTATCGGATATTCTTTTTGGGGTAAATTGGTGTTGGATTTTCAAATATTAATCTGCTAACTTTTTCACAGATCTTGGTAACTGTGCAGTAATTGTTACTAACTTGAGAATTTGCATTCAGGAGAAGAAACAAGAGTCCGATGAAATTAGTAAGGAAAAAAGTGACAATAAGTCTGAGGCCAATGAGGAAAGACCCGAGTCGTCGAACTCTAGTGGCAAGGGTGACGAAGAGGCGAAAGAGCAAAAGAAAGAGGAAGAAGCTGAAGCTGTGATTCCCCTCAGGCCACTAACCATGGATGATCTACGCCAAGCAAAGAACCAGGTAACTTTATACTGTCATAGGACCAAAAAACCGAGTCCTATTCCTTTCCATTGTAACCATTTTTAGTTTGACTGTGTTCATATTCATGGTGCAAGTAACTTGTATGCCTTTGGATGGGTCTCTCTCTCCCTCTCCCAATATAAAACTAGGACCAGGTGGGAATGGAACTTAAGACGTGATTTTGGCACTAAACACCCTGACTACCTATACCTTGAGCTAGTTCTGTCCCTCTCTCTCACTCGTTCGCACACACATGCACAAACACAATTATTTTTTAAAACACCAACCCATGTATGCATCTCTCTCATACATGCTGCTACTAAATTGTGCTCTCTCTCTCTCTCACTCTCTTTTTTAATATAGCAATCTCTCTCTCTAATAAGTTAAAATGTGGTTGGTATGAGCACAGGTTGCCCCCAGCTTTGCATCTGAAGGGGCCGTAATGAGCGAATTGCAGCGTTGGAATGACCTCTACGGCGAAGGAGGCTCAAGGAAGAAGCAGACTCTCTCTTATTTCCTCTAAACCCCAACCAATCAATTCTGGCCATGTCAGCTCATCTCTACCCAATGGGAGTGGGCCACGCATCCGAAACACGGTTCCTTGCAAGAAAAGTGCATGTGAAGGCACAGTTGATATTTTTACTCATTGAGGGGGCAAAGGGGACTTACATGTCCTTGTAATAAAAGTATAGGGTATATTTGGGCAGTCAAATAACATTCTTGTTTGTCATTTTTTTGTATAGTATTGGAGTAGGGGCTTGAAGATGTTGGGTCCATTTTCTTTTCTTTTCTTTTTTGACCTTTTTTATCTTTATGAATTATTATGGTGCTTAAATTGTTTGCCTTTATTTTTTTCATTGTAGGATATTATCGAAATCAGAAGAAAATGATAAAATTCAGGAAATCTTGTGCGTTGACTTAGTTTATTTGCTTCTATTTTTCTATTTAAATGGATGGTTGAGATGGTACCTAGTGCCCATCTCCTTAAATGTGAAACGTTTATGGTGTTTAGCATGTCAAAAATCAATTCAATTCTGCCTTGCATATTTTGATTATTTTTAACAACATGAATTTCTAAATTTTGTGTCTCAAGATGCCTTGGCTTCGCATACTTCTCAACTTATTGGTGACATGAGTTAAGTTTTTTATTTCTATTATTTCACTAGTTACTCTTGCAATGTTTAGTATAGGACTATGCCTCTCCAAACACAATTTATGGGTTTTTGGAGAGCCACATCCATCAAAAAAATTTATTGATGGTTGTGAGTAAATAGAGAACAATGTTCCAAGTGGCTCCTAATCAAGAATATGTAAAATTGTTGTTGACTTAATATCAACTATCCATTCGAAATCAAAATGTTGGATATCTACAAACACAGTATATTTGTGATGACAGAGAGAAAGTTGGCTTAAAGATATATATTGTATATGTGAATACATAAAGGACTGATGTTCAACACAATCCTTGTATTACGCTATATAAGAGTCTGGGAATGAGTCTAAGCTATTGGGTTGAGAAGTCTTTATAATCTAATATGTAAGGGGCTAAAGGTCATTAGAAAAATCTATTGTTCAAAATGACATGAGAAAACAAAATGGAATACGCTTCACTATTTAAAGAAAATAAGAAAATAAGATGCATTTGTGTAAACTGGAAATCTTGAAAAAGTGTCACAAATTAAGTTCATGAAAAACAAGGTTGTAATGGTGACAATGCTGAAAACAATAAATAGGGTAACTCTGAAGCTGATGCTCTAGCTAAAGATAGTTTTCACTAATCATCGTTGATGATTACATCCTTCATGTAATTGTGCTTTCTCGGTATTTATTTTTGTATTTCTTTGTTTTACAATGAAATTTGTGGTTAACATTCAAAAAACAAAATGAGGCAAAAATAAGGTTAGCCACCAAGCCATGACTGTTTCCTCAAGCTCTATCCTTTTTAGATGAGCGAGTAACTATCCATACCTACTCCAAATGAGACAATAAAATAGCCTCAATCAATCACATTGTTTTCTTCCTTTTTTTGGGTTAAGTCTTCATTTTTTTCTTGAAAATATGTTCGAACAAGAGATTAACATGCAGAGTTGCTAAGTAACTAATTAAGAGCGCATATGGCGTGCTCCGACAGGAACACATTGTACATTGCCTCCTTCAAAAGAGCTATTTAAGAGAATTTTCTCGAACCAAAAGCCAATTTAGAGTCACTAAATGAGTGCTTTCATACAAGGGTGTGGTTTGTATTTAGGTTGAGGCCTTAAACAATCAAAGTAATGCATACCTCTAAATAGTATCAAAATATGATTTTTTCAATAGCAAAAATCTCTATGATAGCTTCAAAATTTATTTTCATCTCTAATTGTAAAATTTTGAACTTTAAAAATACTGTAGATCGAACAAATCCATAAACGCCTAAAAATATTGAAAATTGACGGCCCAGATAAGACATTACAAGTTTAACTATTTCATAGACTTGAAATCTAGTTTTTTTTCACGTCTATGCATCTTGAGGTCAACATAATCGATTTGACGGGCTTTTCGACATAAAAACGACCTCTTCTAGTGATTTTTTGAGGTGCACCTTAATTTGTTTGTTTGGGGCCTCGTTCTTCTATAAACTTTTTCATTCATCTAAAAAATTGGATCTTGAATTCTAGACACTTAAACCTGACTGTCTAAAAAGTAGACACTCCTTGTTCAATCTTTAGACATTATTTTTTCTAAGTCGAGTCATATGATTTTTTATTAATTTTAAGTTGGTCGCTATATATCCTGCAATACCATATTATCTCTTGGCGCTAATTTCTATACTATATTCTCTTTTTTCAAAATAAGGAGGAAAGACATAAAAACAAGGATTTGTCTAGAAAGAGGCCATTTATCTTTTGCGCATCTTTTGTATGTGGAGGTGACAATCATTATTGTCCCTTAAATTTTAAAATGAGTGGTTGAAAAGGCATCATTTAATAGATATAATTTTTTTTTTAAAAAAAATGATCAGACTTTATGACTGATTCCAAGCCAGATATCTAATGAGGGAATGATTGTAACCTCCATGTATAAAAGATAAATAATCGATAAACAGTTCTTAAAAATAATAAAAGATAAATTTGAACATGTCCTAAAGGACAATTGAGATCACCCATAATCACCAATCTACTTGTTGGACACCTCCCTTCCATCCAAATATCCAAATAGTACGTGGAAATCGCATATTTTAGCAGGTTTTTTTGTCGTACGAAAGAAAGAAATAATAGAATCTTTATATGGTATTTAATACCACATAGTAGCAGTTGCAACTAGGGATGGTTGCAACTCGGGATGGCAACGGTACGTGGACACGGACTCAAAAATATGATATGGGACCTAAATCTAGATCCAACCCAAAAATTAAAATATTTATGTACTTAACTGTATTTAAATATATTTCATATATTGGGATTCGAAAAATAATACCAGAATCGAACCCAGACCCAGACCTGACCAGACCTGATCGGACCCGAATAGTGTTCGGTTTTAAGATTTGGACTCAAACCCGACCTGCTAGGTCCAATTTTTTGACCATACATGGACCCAGGTCAGGGTCTACCCCTCACGTCCCGAGTCAGGTTTAGGTCCATTGCACCCTTATTTGCAGCTAAACGTTAGTGTGGGGTTGGGCCCGTATTCACGACAATGCAGCTCGAGCTCGGCCCAGACCCAAAAAAAAAAAAGTAGAAAAGGATAGGCTAGGCTACGACCTACAAAAGTATGAAAAACAACTATTTAATATATGCAGTATTTACTTTAAAAAAATTAGACCGGGTCTAGACTGGACCAGTGCTTCACCGGAATGGCCCGAAAGACGCAACTAAAAAACCATCTATGTGGCCCGGACCACTAACATCCCTGATAGTAATGCGCCACTATTAAAATGCCCCTGTGGCAAAATTCGCATAATATACCCATAAAAAAAAAACACATGATTTTTTCTCGGTTGTTTCTCATTCGCCATGCGCAATGTGATTTGTGGTAGGATATTGTCTAAAAATCAAACTTTTTAGTGTGGAGTTGCTGCTGTCACCCCACTTGTAGCCCTTAGTAGCAAATACCCCACATCTAAAATGCTTCTAAACCTTTGTGTCATTGTTTTAAAACCTAGCTATTTCAATCAGCAATCTAGATGGGAATTGCTCGAATACGAACCGTTTCTCAGATGGTATGGGTCTTGGCCTCAGTTCCCCCAAAACCACTCTTGTTATATTTATATATTTTTCATTTTTTTTAAGCATGTCTAATCTTTTATTAAGACCCCTTAAATCCCCACCCATAAACCACTGATTTATTTTTTATTTTATTTTATTTATTTTTAAATATTTTATGGATTAATGCTTCAGATAGATCCTACCCGAGCCGGATTGCCAATTCAGCGATCCAATATGGATATGTGAGTAAATGATCCTTCGCACCAATCTAAAATTTGAAACACTACTTTTGTTAATATATATATATATGGGGAATAATTTCATGCAACGGTTGTATAGTGGTATAATGCAATTATCTTCAAAAACCATGTTAGAGACATTTGTTTGACACCAAATTTTAAATATACACTCTTTTCATACTGAAGAACAATCACAAAAAACAAAATTTGAAAAAAATCTCTAGAAAGTTTTCATTCTAGCCTAATTAATATAAGCCATCAATTTTATTGAGATGCTTAGATATAGGCCTCGAAAGGATTTTTTTATTCTCAATATTTGTATATAGCATTATCATCATTAGATTAACAATGCTAAAAATGAAAAAAGTGATTTTGAATTTGTTAAGGCCTAGATCTTAAAATTCACCAAATAGATGGTCGAGATTTATTGTTGGATGGGTACTAATTTTGACCATATCTAAGATGCAAATTGAATTTTTTTTTTCGTAGGATTGATTATGATGATGAAGAGAATGTGTGCGTAAAATTTGGGGTCATACAAATGCCAAAAATATGGTTTTCTATAAGTATAGTTGCATTATACTACTATAC